GTCAGAGTCAAGAAGAACAACAAGCGTTGCAAGAGGAAGAGCAGGCCCTCATTAAACTTGGCTTAGCAAATTTTCAAGATGATCCAAGTTGTGACGACAGTGACAGGGACAGTGCAATGGGGGAAAGTGATTTCAGTGACAGTGACTTTTAACTAAAAAGAATCGAGCCTGAGTGCTTGGATGCCATAACGAAACTGTTCATCTGTATTTTCAATCTGTAGGAAAACTCTGACTGCAAAAATAATTATTTCAAAAGTTGATTCATGTTATAACAGGTCAATGAAGTACTGACAAGGGAAAGAGGTCAATTTTTATTTAGATGTAAATTGTAATATGTAACATGGGACTGGAAGGAAAGCATTGTAATATGTATGAGTAAACATAATTTTCAAGAAACTCTTGATAATGAGTCAGATTTAAGAAAAACTCTAGGTTATAATAAAGTGTACAACGACCTAAAAAATAACTTTTTGGTCCTGAAAATGCACCAGAATGCACCTCAGAGCATGCAGATTTTCAAAATTTTCTGGGGGAGGCCCCCCATACCCCCCCTGCAGGAGGGGGAAACCCCCTCCCGCACCCTCCCCACGGGCGGCTTTGCCGCCCGGCGCCGCTGTCGCGGCGCAGTGGTGCTCCGGCTATTTTAAAATTTCCTCCTGATACTTTTTTTCATTTTGAAAACACTGCTTGGTATGACGGTTGCCGATCACAAAATTATCACCAACATCTCTTCGAATTGCCTGAATCCATATTTGTCTCAGTGCTTTATCACTTGGAAATTGAAAATGAGATATCTTCTCAATTACAGTTTCGTTTAATGATTTCGTGGGGACTGTCTCCGAGGAGGGTGTCGCGCACATGGACTTCCCTGTTGGTTCTGCTAAAAATGGTACCACCTCTTCAGAACCTTCTCAGGTGCTGAATTGAATGGGCTCTCTGCTGGAGAAGCCACTCAAGTCCAGGGTTACTGCAGAGGGGGTTCAGGCTGGTGGCCTGCTCTCCTCTGACTCTGTGACGACCTCTGCAGAGGTGTCTGGCTCTGCCAATCTGTTTAGTGAATCCATAAGTAACAGTATCGAAAATACCGAATTAATGCAAGTTAATAAAAGTAATGTTATTGATAGTACAAACAATAATGTACTTAATGAGTGCCAAAGAAAATACTGTAGTTAATGTAGGTTAGTGTTAATGATGAGGACAAAGCGCCCACTGGCAACGTGGGCACGGACTCCGTCGATCCAACCGAGGAATTTTCTGAGTAAGTATGGAATAGTAGTGAGCATCTAACCTGGGGCTGTATGGTTGACTTTGTCGATGCCGAGATGCATCAGGCCCTAGGGCCACGCAAGAGATTTGTTAGTAATGTTACTCCTGGTGACCCTGGGTCCCACCCCACCTACAGGAGACAGGCTGCCAAAAAGACATCTGGTCACCCCTACCTTTCAGAGGGTGTATTGTCGGCCGCTATGCTGTCTGCTAGTCGAGCCCCTCCTAAGAACTAGATGACTTTCCTACGCTTTCTCAGGGCTTCAGTGTGTAAATTCTTGTCTCTCGCTAAGTGGTTGGATGCTGGGAAGGGCCGGCTAAAAGTCTTGACTATCAGCTATTGTAAAAACAGGTTCGACAAGAAGGCACAAAAGAGAGATCTGTTGGTCAACCTAGTTGCCAATCTGAAGTCCCATGTGGATTGTAGACTCTCTCTCCTGTCCCCCCCCCCCACCCCACCCCCACCACCCACCACCACCCCCACCCACCCACCCACACCGCCCACCGCGGGGGCCAAACATAGTG